ATATATATATATATATATATACACTAAAAGTTCAGGCTTAATCGAAATATAAGTAGCAAAATTTAATTTTAGAACAATCTTAGCTAATCAATTTTAGAAACAATATTGGGTTAACAATACTATATTTTTTTAATTACTAACAAAAAAACATTTAATGGTAAAATAAAATTTAATGACGATTTTTAGAATTTAAATTATTGAAAAAATATTTATCAATAGTGAATCCGTCACTAAAATTTATTACTTAAATTTATCAATAAATTTCTCACTTTAATCGGTTGGTTTCATGCACAGAAACTCTTTGGAATATAATATATTCTCTTTCTTTCTTACTAGCAGCAACACTTTCTTCCGGTGGCAAACCCACCTTCAAGGAGGTTAGTGTTTTCGTTTTTTATGGATTATAAATTGGTTAAACTTGTTAATATTATTGATATTGATATTTTTGAAATTATTTATTGTTCATACACAATATATATCCAAACTTAGACTAAAATCAAAAGTATATCAAAAGAACTCCAAATGACCTGAAAATTTGTTCAAAACACCAAAAAAATCATGAGAATCCCCCACAAAAAATGTTAGATCAAAATTCAAAGTCTAAGTATGTGAAATATTTTTGACAAGTTTGAAAAAAAACAAAATAAATTAATGAAAAATAGAAAACTGTGATATTTTGAAAATCTATACACTACAAGAAAAAGGCCATTTACATACCAATTATTACATACGGATCTAAATCTGTATATAATAAAACTATTACATACGGATATTATGTACGTATGTTAAAAAATAATAAAAAATTAAAAATTTAACCCTAAGTGAAAACCTAATAGCCTGAGAATTAATTGAAAAGTTCTCGAGCCATTCCCAGCTTTCCCTCTCATCTCTTTTGCTCTGAGCTTTCTCTCTCATCTCTTTCGCTCTGAGCTTTCCCTCTCTTCTCTTTCCCTTTCGATCACAAACCATTGTCACGTGTTTTTCGTTAATGAGGTTTCGAGAAAGGGAATGGGATCGCGGTGCCGTTGAGGGCCCTCGTGCTCCGGTCTAACCGAGGGTTTGGATCGACGGCCGTTGCATAGTGCTACTACAAGGATGACGAGAAGAGGAGTGTGCGACACACGGCATGCTTGACACACAGGGTTGCAAGCCGAAGCGTGGAGTGTAATGGGTGATGATAGGGAAGCCTGGAGCTGGGAGGAACCTCTTAGCGTAGAGGCTCTCGAAGGTTCTAGAAGTTCCTCACATTTCCATGGCTATGCTCTTCAGCCAGAACCTCAACCCTTGCTCCTACCTCTATCACCAACGAGCAAATGCCTTAGATCATGGAAAACTTGTCCCAGAGGAAAATACTCTTTTATGACCATCACGCTTCGTTCTTTTTGCACTCACGGTCACGCTAACAAAGTTCCTTCATCTAGTAAGTAATCCCTTTCTTCTTTGATTCATAAATCCCTAAAATTGCAAAACTCGAAAACCCTAATTTGTTTCTTCTTTCTTCCTATTGCACGTAACGATATGTGGTGTAGTTCGGAAGACGTTGTTCCATTGTTACCAGATATCGATTGAGGCGAGGGTGTTGCATTTTGAAAACATTCGAAGTGGTAGTAAGGTATGTTTCGGTGATATTTGTTTTCTCACGAGGTTTTTGTTATGTTGTTTTGTTCATCATTCTCTCTGACCTGGTTTGGACATGTTCTTAGGTCTTAATGGATTAATTAGTGGGCATTCAGGAGCCTAACTTTGTGCAATTGACCAAGTCGATGGATTCATCCTTATTTGCAAACACGATATGCAGGTAAGGAGTTTTATGTGGAGTTAACATGTTCAGTGGCTAGCCTTATTTGTGGTATTTATTGGCACTTCAGGTTTTTACTGTTATATTGGTAACTATTTCCTAATGAGTTGACCATTGTTGTTACAAGTAAAAGTATACCATGCTTGGAAGTGAAACCCACCTGTTGTTAGCATTCCATGAGAAAGAAAGTAGAGATTTGTGTTTTTCATGAATGAGAAATTAATGAAGAAACAAAAGAAAACTTTATCCTAGAAGCTAATTTGGCAAAGTAACCTTTCATTACTAGTATTCATACTCTTTTTTGTACCCTGCTGTATTTTACTAATAAGACAAGAAATTTACCATAGTGATTCATAAGTTAATTTGTATCTATGAGATTTTGAATCCTAATTTTGGAGATTTTAATGATTTGATGATCTCAATTCCTGCTAATGGACATGACAATTGGTTTGCTTATGTGATTTCATAATCGACCAAGGTGCAGGGTATGCTTAGATATGCATAAACAAGTTCAATTTTCTTCAATGTGACATATGATTACAGGCTATATACAGGGAGAATATCAAATAAAAGTAACTAAAAGTGCCCTGGCCTTGTTGCTAACCAGCAGGTACAATGAATTGGGAAAAATACATGTCCATGGCCAAATCTGCATGTATTGGTTAGGGATCACTTGTAACACAAATCTTCATGAACTAGTTGAAAATTAAAGTACCAAAGCTTATCAACTTTAAGCTGACTGTTAACTTTTCTTCCAGGATATTACTTCTAGCTCTTTTGATTGCAAAATTGGCTTTCTTATGGAAATCTCATCTATTAGAGAATTACCTGATATGGTAAGAATTATGAATAACTCATGTAAATAATGATATTTGAATATGAGAATAACTTTTCTTTTGTTGTTTATCTGTCTTTATGGGCCATTGTTAGCCTAATTATTTTGACACATGTTCTTTTGTTTCTTTTGGAGGTTGATAAAAAGATGATTGTAAAAAAGAGGAAAAATTATGCTATTTTTACGAACTAGAAAAATAATGAATTAAACCTACAATATTAAAATAAAAATAATGAAGTTGTATTTTATTAATTTTTTTCTTGTTCATCCTTTTTGCTAATGCTACTAAAAGTTTAATGAATAGACAAAGAAAATTAAGATAATGGGAGTGAATATAAGGTACCACCGTCTCCATTCCAACTTCAATAGGATTCTGGGCCAAAATTTGAAAAAAATCATGTATTATTATTTATAAAAGTAATAAAAGTATTTCATGATGGAATAGTTGCATTTCTCTTTCTTTTTAGATAAAATGTTTGATTATACATTTTAATTCTTTTCTCCTTTAACAATGTGTTATTAATATGTTAAAAGTTATAGATTTCATTTGCAATTAAATGACTTTATTACTTTTTTTCCAATATTGGTTTGACTGTAATTATTGTTTTTTAATTAAAGACTACTCGCTGTTAACTTTTCAATTGGAATAAAGTTTCATTCAAAGTTGCCACTTTCACAGATACTTGTTTTCTCAGCAGGAACGAACCCAAGGGTGTTTGTGGTGTATTGCCATGTTCTTGCAACCATTGTAATTGCTCTAATAACTTATTTGTCACAGTATTCATCATGACCTCTCACTCCCATTTCTACTACCCTTCAATCTCAGCTCATGTCTTCACTTTCTTTTTCCTTTCACAGCAGAAATTCTTGCTCCTATTACTTTGATATTTTAATTTGATATTTTTGTAGGAATTTATTTAATTTAATATTTTTATGGGAATTAAAGTTGGCAACGCTATTGTCAAGCAGCTGGTGAGTACTTTTTTGTGAGTTTCCACTCAATATATATTTGTAGATAGCTATGCTTACAAATGTTACTACTGTGAACTGTAGGATGATCTCAGTTGCCAATGTTGTTCCATTATGGTGTGTTTCAATATTTCTTTTGTTGTTTCATCTGTACCTAATTTCATTATTAGAGATGTGCTAGTCCAACTATATGTGCTTCGATATATCTGGAGATTCTCTTGGTATCAGGGGTAGGTATCCAATTGAACATGGTTTTTGGTTTGTGAAATTTTATCGATTTGCATTTTCACTCTTTGGACCTAAATGAGTTTGATCTTGTTCTGTAGGTGAAACCTGATGACATATGTTCCCAAGTTGGTTTATGTTCCGCCAAAAGGATTCAATCTAAGAGGTCAGAAATGTCTATGGATCTTTTATATAGATGTCTCTACTTTCTGCTTCCCTTGCAAGTCTACTATAGTTATGTCATTTCTTATCCCCTCCCTTTGTTTTCAGATTCCATCAAGCTTGAAGAAGGTCTTCCACCCAATAATTTTTTGTGCAACATTTGCAGAGCTAGCAACAATTGTTTCAGAGTTTCTTTATGAGTAGAGCTTGATTATATTTTAGGTGTAAATTATAGTTTAGTTAATATTCAATTCTATATTGTACAAGGGCTGGTTTGTTTTGAATTCTATTTATAAAGTCTTTCAATAAAATTTTTATGTTTTAATTATTTGTTTTAAGCATAATTATATATTATAAATTCTTTACATTTGTTAAAAGTTGAAACTAATAGCAATAACCTTATATAATATTATATTTGTAAGTTTTTTTTGTTTATTTTAAAGCTTTCTGTTTTTTATAAATATTTTTTTTTCTCTATTTTATGTTACATACGGATTTATCCGTATGTAAAAGAAAATTATTTTTTTTATATATTATATACGGATATTATATACGGATATATCCGTATATAAGTTACATACGGATATATCCGTATATAAATTACATACGGTTTTGTCCGTATATAAGTTACATACGGATATATCCGTATATAATTTATATACGGATAAATCCGTATATAATTTAGCTACGATAGTTTTATATACAGATTTTTATCTGTATGTAAGCCGTATGTAATCAAGTGTTATATACGGATTTTGGGTGTTATATACGGATTTTGATGGTATGTAATTTAATTTTTTCTTGTAGTGATAAGGAACTGCCAGTCAGGTTGCCACGACTTTGAATTTTTTTTTCTACCCGAAATTGATATATAATAATGTCAAATCTACCAACTCAACAAAAGTTATAGTCATTTAAAGATCTACAACAACTGACTATCCAAATACTTTTTAAACTTTAGACGAACAAAAGTAAAGGCTCCTGGGATTATTTCCCTAAAATAGGTGTTCCAAATAATGGCAATAAAAAATTTCAACCAAAAATAATAACTATAGCTATCAAAACCAAAAATGACAAGTAAATAGTCAATATACATTATTCACTATAACATCATTCACTTGTGATAGCTTTTCTTTATAGTTTATAGTTCATACACATTTGAAAATGAGTTCTGGATTTATGAAATGCCAAAACTGAACTACATTTGCTGGTTTTCTACTTTTCAAATTTGGTAAAATTGTTAAAATAGATAATTATTTATTAAAAAAACAAAGAACGAGAGATGTCAAAAAATGGTCATTTTCAACGTTAATTGATGTCGAAAAAGTCGAAAGATGGTCATTTCTAACGTCAATTAATGTTTTTTTTGCTTCTGACTTCAATCAACGTCTTTTGTTATAATGTTGGTGTTTTTGTATATGTTAAAGGTCCAAAATAACAAACCTCAAAGCTCTTTTTATACCAGCGACAGTAATTTATATTTCTTATTACCAACAAATTTATCTACGTTAAATTTGTTAATAAAAAGGGCAGCAAATTTCTCACTAAGTATGATGAGATTTTTAATATATTAAGTGGAGATGAGTGAGAAGAAGAGAAAAATAAGATAATAAAGAGGAGGAAGAGAAGTCAAAATCAATAATGATAGCAACAGTTGAACATCTAATAATGACTTAAGTTGTCTTGGGTCGTCTAACACTTTATTCATCTAACACTTTGCTTTTTGCATTAACTAGGTTATCTAGAGACTTGGGTCGCCTAATGCTTTAAACTTGGTGATCACAAGTTTTGAATTCGTCTAACACACTGACTTGTCTAAGGCTAAGACTTGGCCCTTGCATTTGTCAAACTTCTGGCTTTTGTTAACATACATGATATATGGATATTAATCATTTAAGTGCATGCTAGCTACAATATATCATATATTTTGATCTTGAAGCCATATAGATTGAATCCTCATTATATTTGTTAAACGTTCTCTCTTAATCATTCAACACTACTTCACTTATAACTAAAGACTTATGCGTATGATAGAGTGATTGTTTTGGTATCATAAAAAGCTTAATTGATTACTAAGGTTTGTCTATTTCAACACATCATTCCTATACGCAACAATCTATTTTTCATAAGCCTTCAAGTTGTATGTCTTTATCTTGTGATTTTCACTTCATGATCCTCTAATACATTTATTCTTTGCTTTTCCATTGTATTATGCATGAGACTAGTAACTTTTTTCTCTATGCTCTTCCTATTGGGTGTTATTTGTTATTGCATTTGGAAAGTGCTTATACCTTTCTCCAAATTTACTTGAAATGCTTTATCAATGACTATTGTCTAAGTTGAGTTCTTAGTATGAAATATTTTTATGAACAATTTAATGCTTTGTCTTTTTATATTTTGCCTCTAAGTCTTCCTACATTGATGAAAGCTTTACCATTGTTGAACTCCTAGTTATCCCTTTTTTTTGTCAATTTATCTATTTTTACACTGATGATTCTATTTTCTACTTTCACAACTAGATATTTGTATGGAAACTCTTGAAGTCTTTGACTTTAATTAATTATTCCTTTAATCTCTTCATTGCCTTCCTTTGGTTTTCCTCCTTATTAGAAAATCATCTAATTTGAAACTGTCTTTGCTACTAGTGTTGAATTCCTTCCTTGAATTGACATTGTTGACAATTTTGTTCTACTTCGCTAATGTTATTTTTATTTTTCCTCTTTACATTTGCATTTTTAAAACTCAACAACATCCTCTGAAGATGCATTGTGATTTTTATACCTCCTCCTATGTGTTATTGATGTTGTTTTTCATCTTTCTCTTCAATTTGAACCCTATCTGATTATGTGTATGGTTATTTTTGTGGGGTTTTGACAAAACACACATGGATCTATGTGACTACGAAACTTGTGATCTGTGGCAGAGCATTCTGGTAAGGTGAGGCGCGATGGGTGCGCCTATGTTGTGTTTTTAGTTTGCGGTGACTCATATTTGTGTTCTTCGACAACACCAACGACTTTGATGCAAACTTCGGTTGGAACGCTATGGTGACGGCAATTGGTGGCTACAAGTCCTATTTTTACATCTCAAATGTAAAATCTCATGCAAGCTTGGAAGTGCTCGCAACAGAAATTTCATGTACTCTGACTTAAGTGTGTAAGTTACTATATCACCATCCTTCCAAACTTGCTTGTCTTTCTCCTTTTTATTGAAATATTTCCCTTTTAATTATTGCATTAATGTATTTACCCATGTTTTATTTTTCCAATTAAACAATTTCCTTTTCATACACTACTCCCCGTTATTATTGTTCCACCTTTAACTTCATCCAATGTTTTATATAACTAATCTTACATTCTTGAAAATTTATATTATAATTCAAAATAAGTTTCTAATATATTAAATAAATTTTTAAATTTAACTATTCATTATTAGTATTGTTCTTAAATATTTGTTAATATATTATTATATTACAAGATTTTTTAAATTCTCAATCGAGGTTTAAGAAAAAATGAGAGTGTATCTCCCAATGGAGGGCTAAAGATATCTGTTTTCTTTTTCACAGACTATGTCAATGTTTTGATTTCAAGTCCGTAAAGTAAAGTCATCAGAATCATAGTCAATTACTCTATTCTAGATATTGTTCGTTTTAAAATCTGAAACTCCGTTACAATTTTATCATTAAAAAAAAGTCTCAAAAGTTTGAGAGAAAGAAATATTTAAACTTGTAAAATTATTGGATATTAGAACAAATATAATTACACCTAATTATTATTATGTCTAACCATGAAATTATGATCCTCGTAGTTAACTAGACGAGTAAATAAAATTGATTTTGTCGCATTTGTTATTGAAGGAATGAGAGGACAAAAGTAAATACATTGTAAAGTGTTTGCAGTGCCTTTTCTTTTCCCTAAAGCTGTACTTTTATGATTAAAGTAACACAACAATATTAAAGTTACAGTATAATTAAATTGTGCACTTATTGACGAGATTTAAGTTTAATTAATTGTCAATCTAAGTTCTTTTGCATTATCCTAATTCAGTTACAAGTATTTTTTAAACGTCACTCCTCGGTTACAATAAAATATATTTAAATCGCCTTTTGTTCTGAGACACTTTAAGGAGACAAATAGGAATATATTTATTTAATCAAACTTAATTAGTAAGAATGGAATATAATATTTTGAATACAATTCTTTACCATAAAACATTTTTATTATTAGTTAACATTTAATAAAAATCATCAAATAAAAATTTATATCCTCAATTCTTTAGGTTGTAAGCATTAAAGTCAAATAACTCTGCATGATTAAAAGATTAAATTCATTTTTATCATTTAATTTAAATTTTACAGAAAAAATACTCATAAAAATTATTCTCCCATATCTATGCTTCTTCTTTTTATTTTTGTCTAAAATGCATCACTCTACAATTCGTGATTTTTCTTTCAAGTCAGGCCCATTTCCATGTCATACGTGGGCTTGTAACTTCTTCTCTTTATAACATCATTTTAAGAACAACTCGTCCTTCTAGTTTTTTTCACATATAACTAGTATTAGACGTGTTTCTTATTTTTATTTTACTTTTCATGTTAATATATTAATATTTTTATTTTGTAATAACAAAATGAAAAATTTTAGTAATTATGTTTAAATAGATAGTATTTTGAAATAATTATGTTGAAGTGTTAAACTGTGTATAAATATTTTGAATTATAAAATATATATTTAATAATATGAAACCATTTATTATAACAATTGTACTAATAACAATAAAATAAAATGCAATATGATTTATTTGAAAAGACAAAGAAATAATAATGTGTATTCAAAATTTTATGGTTTTATTTTGATATTATATAATTATTTTTTATTTTCATTAATTATTTAATTAATAGGATACTTTTGTCCTATACCAAAATATTTCTAATGGTTAAATTAGATAATACATTTTGTTTATATATATATATATATATATATATATATATATATATATATATATATATATATATATATATATATATAACAGCATCACTACATGTGTTTGAGAGAAATGATTTGAAAAAGAAAGAGTAGATAGATTTAAGAAGAATTAAAAGTAAATTTTGTGTTATTTTTTTTAATGAATTTGAAGGTGATTAAGAATAGATTTAAAAGTAAAATTTATAAAAGTTTGTGTAAAATTTGACTATTAAAAAAATGTTTTAATAAATACATATTGAAGATTACCAATTTATTTTAATGATAATATTAATATAAAATAATATTTATAAATAACATTTTTAATAAAAAATATT